ATTTTTGGGACCAAATAGCTAACATACATCCTCTCTTAGTTTTTTGTTGAGAACACTTCAACACTCTTACTAGCGTCAGAGCTTGACACTTTTTGTACAGAATCCTCCCTCATTTTTTGTTGAGAAGACTTCAACACAAAAACCAGTTTGGTCTTATTTTTACATTTATTGATGTATTATAACATCCCTTTTTCTGTCACTCCAGTACACAACAACAAATATTTTCCACAGAACAAGGCATCTGAGGGCATCACCCCCTCTCATGTCACCTGTTCTGACTAAAAGCCAGTGTGGGTTTCTATTGCCTGTATTGACAAAAAACTGGTGTGGATTATGACTGTGATTGGTATCATGGCATCCCTTCTCACATCACCCTTATTGCTGACAAAAAAACACTGTCAGTTTCTATTGCCTGTACCAACAAAAAAACAGAGTGGGTTTCTGCCACAGGTATCAACAAAAAATGTTGTAGTTTATGATGCTGGTGATTGGTAGCCTGACATCCATTCTTCTGTCCCATCAACAAAAAAGAGTGTGTTGGGAAAGGATGCTGATATATGTCACAACTTTTCTTTTGCAAAAAAACTGATGTGGGAAATGATGGTTCCATCTGCATTGTATTTTATTGTTATTGTCATACTTCAAATGCTCATTCTCATAATCTATTCATCAATTCCTGCACTTTTTTCATCTGCACCTGCATCTGCAAGAGCCTCCAACAAGCACCTCCAAGGATAATACTACTACTATTAATAGTACTAGTAATACTAGTGAGCCACCAAATTGATCCATAGCCACATGCGGTCACACTTCAAATCAAAGTATCAACAAGCCAATCAGCCCATTGTCAAGTACCCCCATGCTTTGAATCCTCTGTCAGCTTTTTTCTCTCACCCAAGTACTTCGTCTACTAATACTAACAGGAAGTCACTGAATTGATCCATGGCCTTGATCCATCATAAAGTATCCACTAGATTCAAATCCTTTGCCACTGGTTGACCCATTGCCACCCCCAAGATGGAAACAGCAAAGGTGACATGTGAACCACCAGGAGACTACCAACAACAAAGAGGACGAGTTTGTATTGCCATGGGACCACACCATGTTGGCAGCAGTGTCACCAGCCAGATCCTTGCCACTCCCTTACCACAGCTGGTTTGTTGATCTGATTTCCACCCTTCAGATGATCCCACTACAACTGGATTCTCATCTAGGCACAATGCATGCCACAAATTTGGCACTTGTAACTCATGAGCAAAGCAATCCATTCTGAACATTCCAAGTAGACAATGTTGGTCTATCTTTGGCTGTTTTTCAATGAGATTGTTCATGCAATTGAGTACAACAAAAAAGGACAGTTATATGTTGCATAGATCTTGGTCAGTTGCTGCTGGGAACAAGACANGTTTTTCAATGAGATTGTTCATGCAATTGAGTACAACAAAAAAGGACAGTTATATGTTGCATAGATCTTGGTCAGTTGCTGCTGGGAACAAGACAACACTACATACYCTGTGATTATCCAAGCCCTACCTACACTGTAGTTACACTGTAGGTAGAGCTTAGATACTCGTCTGTGTGGTGTGTGRCACACACCACATAAAGTAGTAACAGCTAATGAAATTTCCATTYAAAAATAAGAAGAAYTCCTTCATGTCTGGTCCTGATGCCTGCATACAAGTTTTGAATGAGATGAGTGAGCAATTCATGTTTMCATCATCCTYCAACTATGCAAGRAAATTAAGAAAGAGACCAGCAATGATCACCCTTGCCTGTATAGTACTATTACTAAAAATATCCTCGTGAAGTGACCTGAGAGTGCTCTTTTTCTTCTGGTACAATGGTGTCCTACATGTGATCTTCTATCAGTTTCAATTGGTGGTTATTTTATTTGCTATCTATTCTAGACAATGGTTTTTATTTGTTGGTCAACTCAATTCCTTTCAAATAATAGTCTAGGTCTTTTGACTTTCTTCAATTGTTTTTTGGTGTACTAACTTTACCTGTCATTCCAAATCTCTTCCTACGTCAAGGTAAATAATATTATCATGCAGTGCCCAGGCCCTATTGAGTGGACACCGAGTTGCTTCGTGATAAGTCTTAATCAGTATTTTACATTTTTTTCAAAATGGAATCGAATAAGATAGATTTCACATATGAAAATTCTGTTCAGAATAAGTAATTACAATTTTTGGAATCAGTTATGGTCAGCAAAGTTTGGAATCCCTTGTGGTTGCGATTKTTATTATTTGATTTACAAGAACGAAAATAAGTAYCATCCACTCGAAGATAATTCATTCGAAACGCATTCATTTTSAAAAGTTCATAATTATTCATCTATCTTCGATGTGCAACAGTCGGGAGGGTAGCAGGTTGAGCACTCCCCCCTGTTTACTTGRATCGTTGCGTGCTTAATCCCAAACTTTAAGCACGCCTTGTTTATGTTCTTGATAGCATTTTCGTCCGTAGAAGTACAATGGACGGAGAGCGCAATCTGGCCGTGACTTATGCACCAGATATGAAGGTCCTTAGAGAAAATGAATTGATCCGTGAAGAGCACAACCGATGAGTGTGAACAGACACAAAGAAAATCTTATGAGATTGAATTAAGCCCAATATGGTGGTGTAGTTGAGGCCAGTCGTGGTATGATCGATGCAATAAGCATTGTGAAACCACCGCCTACTTACATGCACGTTGTATACGTTGGACACAGCCGAAATGGCGTTGTAAACCTCCCGCCAATCAATTCCTGGGGGTGTTTCTTCTAACAAAATGGCAACGGAACTTTTTAATACACCAATGGTTGACCAGRAAACCAGAACACAGAAGCCGAGTGTCAAAATAGGATCAATAATATGCCACTCCGGTTTCCACCAAATGACAACTCCTGATATACATGTCATTTATTACGTTAAGAGGGGTGAACGGAGATACCAAGTGTCAGGAATAGAAATGTCTCACGAATCTACGATCCTGGAAAAACGGGAACCTAAAACAAATTAGAGTACAGCAGGAGTGAAAATTCGTACCTCCGAAAAAGACTGCGAAGCTTTGAGCCAAATCACCCAAGACATGCAAATAGGCAGCATGCAAGTTCACATTGCGCTGGTGCTCCTTGTGACTGTGGTGATCGTCATCCCCTTCATGATCGTGTCCTCCTTTTGAGACTATGAGAGGAGATTTTTCGTGTTTTGTCTCGTTGTCGTGCCCGTGATTATGTCCATGCTCATGGCCATGACCATCTTCCTCGTCATCGTGAAAATGATGKTCATGTTTGTGATCRTGTGTGTTTTCTTTTTCCTTATTGCCGTGGCAATGGTGGTYATGGTCGTGCRCGTCGTGATGATCYATGGTTTGGTGGTTGTGCCCATGATCATGTCCGTGATCATCCCCGTGGCCGYCATGGTCATGTGAATGATCGTGACCATGATCGCCTTTCGTAGTCCATATTTAAAAAATGAAATAGTAGAAAGAAAACCATCAGAATACATTGTATCTCACCGATTGATTGGTTTCGAACCAATCAATRCAACCCCAACGAAAAGAAGTGAGCATCCATTGCTTTAGCGAAAGACGAAGCGTAGCCTACCTCCGGGAAGATGAACGTGGTTTTCTCCCAAAACAATGGCTAGAATCACGTTGATAACAACTCCAAATCCTGCAATGAGWGTCATCAAGTTTCCATCTATCCCTTCCTCAGGTGGGCTTATCAGGCGCTGAAGAGCTTCGTAAGCTAATGCAATGCTGACAAATGCAAGGCTGGTCATACTAAACAACGCAGCTAACGACTCCGTCCTCTTCAGACCGTAGGTATGTCTTGCTGTTGGCGGTAGACTAGCCAGATAACTAGCGGCAATTGCCACCGCGAACGATGTCATGTCCGAAAACAAATGAGCCGCATCACTCAAGATGGCAAGAGATCCGGAAAGTARACCGCCTGAAATCTCGACGATCATGAAMAGGGCGCATAGTGCAGTCGCAATTTTCAAGCGCTTGATGACTTGCTCCCGTTCAGCTGTGTCGTCTTTCATTTCGGCTGCGTTGCAATATTTTGATTAAACAAAAGTGCGTGCCTTCAATTGAGTGTTTACTCAAATATTCACCAAAAACGGACTTCATGCATTTGGTCTCAATTCAATTGATTGGTCCGGATTTTCGGCTTTTTGAAGAACGCGGAAAATATTTTTGATGACACCGTTCCCTGTTACGGGATGACGAAGGAAACAGGATTTGCTTCTGAGCAGCTTGAAAGATTTTTGAACTTTTTCCAAATCGTGCATTTTCTGGAATTTTTTTAAGTTTCCATGATTTTCACCTGTGTAGACTGCAGTACAAATCCTACACAAAATAAGACTGAAATACCAAAAAGAGTTTTAAACAATTACTTTGTATAAAACACCTTTTCTGCTCATTCATTTCTTTCCTTGTAATATCCAACCAAGAAAATATAAAACAATCCATACCAGAATATAAACTATAAGCCAAACCATCAAATTTACCAACATAAAATAATCATATTACWAAGATGGATGATGATGATTCTTTTTCTGATGGTTGACAATTGTTGTTCATAGTAGTAGTAGTACTATGGTCATACTACTAATGATGCAAACCTATCTAACAACAGTGGCGGTGGCCTGCACCCTCACAGTACTACTAGTAGGAGCCCCTCCCAAGATGACCATGGACCCATATCCTATCATCAAAAAGTATGCTGGGTGTGGTCCCTTGAATCTGTCCAAGTCCAAGCTTCTTCCACCAGCAAATCTGCTGCTTCTCTCTACTGTCTATAAACATGTCACGAGTGAAGAGCTTACAAATGCACATAATTCTTTGGAAATCTACGTCTCTCTACTGTCTATAAACATGTCACAAGTGAAGAGCTTACAAATGCACATAATTCTTTGGAAATCTACGTCTCNGCACATAATTCTTTGGAAATCTACGTCTCCTCTCTAGTACTGTCTGTAAACATGTCACAAGTGAAGAGCTTACAAATGCACATAATTCTTTGGAAGATTCTTGTAAAGCCCAGGCAAAAGTAATAGCCTGTGATGACTTTTCAAAGTACAAGGATATGAAGCAATCAATTTTGATTTTGACAATTGAGAGTATCTGGTCAGTGAAGGGGGAGCAGAACAGGTTGAGGTAGGAGGAGGAATTGACAGTAATACCAAATGAAGCTTGCTGGAAGCTGGGTGATGATGCAGAGGAATGGTATCCTCCTCCCAATGTCCAGTATTCATCACCTGGAGGAGGTGCAACCCCAGATCTCACCCATGCTGTAAGCAATTCATTGGATGGCTGCACTAATAAGGTGGAGGGGTTGGAGCATTTGTTCTTGTTCTTGTTTGATGAAAAATTCTTTGGATGATAGTAGCAAATGAGTCCAACTGGTATGTATTTGAAGATTGGGTGACACAAGTTGAAGCTGCTGATGCTTATGGCAGGGTAAAGAAGTCAACAAAGATGCTGAAGCTCTGTGATGTCACCAATCTCAACAAACAAAAGCGTGTTCTGCACTCAGTCAAAGACCAATGGACCTTCACTTCTGGTTACATCCTTGCCTGGCTTGGTATTTGCATCTGCTATGGAGGTTTGGTTGGTTCAAAAGAATCTCCCCAAATTCTTTGGACTTGTCTTGAGGATGGTGGTGTGTATGTTCCCATGGTCAGGAATACAATGAGCATGAAAAGATGCAGCTTTGTTAAATGATATATTCAATTTGGTGACAACAGAAGCCAAGCTAATCATACTGACAACAGTCTACAAAATCCCTACTGTGATGGAGAAAATTGCTGATCGTCTTTGTCTTGGGTGGCATGCAAATATTGACCTAGTATCTGTTGATGAGTCTATGATTGTTTACAAAGGAAGATCCATTCAATTTGTCCAGTATCTTCCCAAGAAGCCAATCAAGCATGACATTAGTTCTAGGCTGTACTGTGGTGTGTGTGATGCTGACACTGGGAACTTAATTGCATTTGAGATCTACACTGGTATTATTAGTGGGTCTACATGGGATATTATTCAGCAGTTGGNGCAGTCGCAATTTTCAAGCGCTTGATGACTTGCTCCCGTTCAGCTGTGTCGTCTTTCATTTCGGCTGCGTTGCAATATTTTGATTAAACAAAAGTTTGTGCCTTCAATTGAGTGCTTACTCAAATATTCACCAAAAACGGACTTCATGCATTTGGTCTCATTTCTATTGATTGGTCCGGATTTTCGGCTTTTTGAAGAACGCGGAAAATATTTTTGATGACACCGTTCCTTTTTACGGGATGACGAGGATTTTGACTGAGGAGGAAACAAGATTTGCTTCTGAACAGGGACGTTACGAAACGACGCACTACCAGGGCCCTCCGGTACCCACGCGCACATCCCCCTTTTCGAATTCCTCCCCTAGAAAAACGTGGGTTATTTTTGGTGTTTCTAAAACGTGGGTTATTCTTGGTGAAAAATAACCCACGTTTCTAAAACGTGGGTTTTTTAATTTGAAAAATAACCCACGAAAGAACCCAGGAACCCACAAATAACCCATGAAAGAACCCACGAATAACCCACGAATTTACAGTCATCTGGGTTGATGGAGAACCAATGGTGTTAAGCATTTTAGTCATTAACGTTATTTAATCACTGTTTTTAATATTTTGGGAAAGGCCCAGCAGGTTTGTGGGTATTTCGTGGGTTATTTCGTGGGTTATTCGTGGGTTATTTGTGGGTTAACCCAACCCACGTTTTAAAACATGGGTTATTTTTTGGAAAAAAAAAAACACGTTTTAGAAACGTGGGTTATTGTTTGGGAAAAAAAAAACCCACGTTTTAGAAACGTGGGTTATTTTTTGTGAAAAAAAAAACATGAAATCATACCCCCGATATTAGATTTCAAAGGGGGGACACGCGCGCGTTGGTTCCGGAGGGCCCAGATACTTTAAGCTACTGGGACGTTAGGAAACGACTCATAACCAGATACTTTAAGCGACATGCCTCCTCATAACCGTGTACGCCATGTGCCTACTGATATCTAAATAAAGTAGCTTAACTTTTTCCCGTCTCCGCCCAAATCGTGCATTTTTTGGAATTTTTTTGGAGTTTCCATGATTTTCACTTGTGTAGACTKCAGTACAAATCCTACACAAAATAAGACTGAAATACCAAAAAGAGTTTTAAACAATCACTTTATATAAAACACCTTTTCTGCTCATTCATTTCTCTCCTTGTAATATCCAACAAAGAAAATATAGAACACTCCATACCAGAATGTAAACTACTATAAACCAAACCATCATACTATTTCTTACCAACATCAAAATAATCATATTTCTAAGATGGATGATGATGATTCTTTTTCTGCCTGTGTGATGGTTGACAGCAATTGTTTGCACTATGGTCATACTCCTAAGAATGATGCAGACCTATCTGACAACAGTAGTGGTGGCCTGCACCCTCATAGTACTAGGTAGGAGCCCCTCCCAAGATGACCATGGATCCATATCTGATCATCAAAAAGTATGCTGGGTGTCCCTTGGTATCCTCCTCCCAATGTCCACCAGTATGATACATCACTTGGAGGAGGTGTGACCACCCCAGGTCATGCCCGTGCTGTAAGCAATTCATTGGATGGCTGCACTAATAAGGTGGAGGAGTTAGAGCGTTTGTTCTTGTTCTTGTTTGATGGAAAAATCCTTCAGATGATAGTAGCAAATGAGTCCAACCGGTATGCATTTGAAGATTGGGTGACAAAAGTTGAAGCTGCTGATGCTAATGGAAGAAGGGTAAAGAAGACAAAGGTGCTGAAGCTCTGTGATGTCACCAATCCCAACAAACAAAAGTGTGTTCTACATTCAGTCAAAGACCAATGGAACTTCACTTCTGGTTACATCATCCTTGCCTGGCTTGGTATTTGCATCTGCTATGGATGTTTGGGTGGTTCAAAACAATCTCCCCAAATTCTTTGGACTTGTCTTGAGGATGGTGGTGTGTATGTTCCCATGGTCAGGAGTACAATGAGCAAGAACAGATGCGGCTTTGTTAAATGATATGATATTCATTTTGGTGACAACAGAAGCAAAGCTAATCGTACTGATAACACTATACAAAATCTGTACTGTGACGGAGAAAATTGCTGATCGTCTTTGTCTTGGGTGGCATGCAAATATTGACCTATCTGTTGGTGAGTCTATGATTGTTTACAAAGGAAGATCCATTGAATTTGTCCAGCAGTATCTTCCCAAGAAGCCAATCAAGCATGACATTAGGGTGTACTCTGGTGTGTGTGATGCTGACACTGGGAACTTAATTGCATTTGAGATCTACACTGGTATTATTAGTGGGTCTACATGGGATATTATTCAGCAGTTGGTGGTACGCCAATCCAATCTTGGACAACAAAATGGCTGTTGACTGTTCATGGACAACTTCTACACTACAATGAAAGTTGTGACCATTGATGAATAGAGGTATTGAAATGGACTGAAAAGCTCCATATGATGAGTGTTCTAAGCCAGAGTGGATGCCTCAGACTTCAAAGAATGGAAAATATCATCCTTGCAATTGTGGGATTTGTTTCTTCTGTGTGAACAAGAAGACCAGCACCATTGCTCATGGAAAGGTAATGTCAAAGCGACATAAAGAAAGATGTAGTGGCAAGTATGAAGGAGTAAAGAGGAACTATTGCATTGTCTGTGTAGAAGAAGCAAAGCATAGGTAYCCTAACTCATCAGTGAGGAGATTGAGGAAGTTGCCATGGATTAGTTTTAAAATGTCAAGGAATTGTTGCAGAAGTTGCAATGTTGCTGTATGTAAAGAGCATTAGAGTAACTTCAACCATCAAGTGTAGTGATGTGTTATAAGAAATGAATATAGTAGTATATATATTTGTTAAAATATATTCCTATGACAATATCATTGTTTATAGTAGTGATGAGAGGGGTCTGATAAGTGGAGTAGTAGTGTAGTAGTAGTGGTAGCAAAAAAAATCCAGGTGGCAACATTTGGCAACACACAATGCTGGGAAAAAGTTAACTGCTTACTGTATCATGCATAGATTGTGTAGTAAATGTTGATGGGAAATTCCTGGCACATAATTTCAGTGTTTAGAGCTTTTGTTGGTTTTGAATGCTATCTGAGGTGTTTAATTAATTTTAATTTTTAAAATCCATTTTCCCTTCTTGTGTTGCCAAATKCTTGAAGCCTCAAAATAAACTTTTTTCCCCTTTCTTTCTTCTAGTACTCCACTACTACTAGCTACTACTAGTACTAGTACTAGTAGGAGACAACTTCTTAGTATTCCATCCAGTACTACAAAAACAATATTAGAAGAAAATTTACAAATAAAAAATAGTACCAAATACCATCATTCATTAGTCATTGAAATGCATTACAATAAATCATGGTTGAAGTTACTATTCCAAGAATGGGTCATGTTCTTCTTTGTGCATTGCAACTTCCATAGTAGTATTACTAGTACTAACCAAAAGTCAAGTTCTGTCCTTGGTGGTCTTTCACTGCTGACTCTAGAACAAGCTTCCTTCTTTTGTTTGGACTGATGCTTTCACAWAGCTTGAGGATATTTGTCTTCTTTACTACTACCTGTCCATCAGCATCACCAGTAGCTTTGTTGSCTTCTGTCATCCAATCTTTCAAAGGCGTAGTAGTACAAATGGTTGGACTTATGATTTACTATTACCTGCTGAAGGGATGTTTGGTCAAACAAGAAGAACAAAAACAATAAAGAYCTTTCACCTTCTCAACATAAGAACAAGAACCACCCAGCAATGCTTTTCTTGCAGTTGYAGCATGGGAAGGATGTGATGGAGTTACCCCTTGTTCCTAGTAAGGTAAAGTACTACTACACTGGGCAGAGGCTGGGGGAAGCTGTACTAGTATAATGTCCTCCAAACTATGCATCAACATCACCCCAACCTCCAAGAAGCYAGAGTTGATGTCATTGCTGTCGACTATTGTTGGGTCTCACTCTTTGGAACACTAGTAGGCTCAAGGCAATAGAAAGACCCAACAACAACCAGCAAACCTTTTGCTGGTGTGTTCTTCTTGTTGAAGGTAATCATGAACAATACTTCCATTAGCAGATGCTGTTAGGATGGATCTTGTCCTCTTTGGGTGGACAAATTCTTTGGCTAACAGTGTCAAAAATTKGCAAAGATAGTAGGGAAAAGAAGGTTGATGTGCAAAATTGTCACTTTTGTCTCCTTCTTCCTCRCCATCCTATAGAATAGTGACAACATTTGCTGAACCCTTCCACCTTATCAGCGCAGTCATCCAAGAATGTTTCTTCCCTTGCAACAACACAGGAAGGACCTGGAATTGAACCTCCTCCAGGTGAAGTCTATTGGGTAGAGGAGGAGGAGGTCATTCCTCTGTATCATCACCCAACAACTTSCAAGCTATGTTTGGCATTACTGCCAATTCCTCCTCCTGCTTCAATCTGCTCTGGTCCTTCACTGACCAGATACTCCTCTCAATTGTGAAAATTGATGGGTTCATGTCCTTGTAGCTTCTTGAAAAGTTAGGACAGGCTCTGTTTTTAGCCTGGGCTTTACAATCTTCCAAGAAAGAGTTATGTGCATTGTAAGCTCTTCACCTGTGATATCATATAGAGTTGGCTTCCAAATGAATGAACTAGTAGTTGTACATTTTGGGCCATCTAATTGCCATGTAATGACTCATGTGATCAAAAATTTGACTTGTACTACCAGTACAGCAGGGCATGTGCTGAATTTTGAATCCCAACCAGATAGTTTTGYTTGCACATGCCCTGCTGTACCGGTAGTACTGTAATTTGGTGGCCCAGAATTGGCGCACCATACAAAATACACGTACTAGAGAGTTAACCAAGGGTCAACTCACTCAAACAACTATATCTTGGTCCCCAATGCACRCTTAAGTATGGTAAGCACATGGATCAAAAGCAATTTTAAACAGGAATATAGTCATGTTGGGGGTTATAGAGGGTTAATGAGTATTGAAAGGTATACAGCACTGTATATCTGAACTAAAAAATGTACAAATGGTTTGGTGGGGAAAATGTAGTGGAGCCTATACCATACTATTAATATGCAGTAGAGAGACATAGATCTGACTGGAAGGTTAGACTTGGATGGATGAAAGGAACATCTGGCATACTTTTTGACAATCAAGTAAAATTTCTTGACATATTTCATAGTACTAGAAAGCATTTGAATGTATGGTTTGTAGACCCAATCCAACAAGTCACAACTCTTCCCATTCCATGTCATCATGACATCAATATAAGAAGTTCCCTTGATAATAACAGTAGAGTGTTGCTCGAAAATTTCCTTTGCTCTGGCAGCACCAAAGCTTATCTAAATATTTTGAGTTCCAAAGGAAGTATGGATCTTCTCATGATCAAGGGACTCAGTGACGAGGCATTCACTGACTAGGAGGGATACTATACTACCACTATTGGTGGTGGCTTGCAATAYAAATCAAAATATCCCAGCTCATTGTGGTTGCCATCATTAAAACTGCAGACAATTGAAGATCCTACACTTCAGACTGTGAGTCTCAACAAGCAACATCAGAGGTAACCCAAACAACTCTTTGATTCTGAAGATAATCATGARTGGTATTTCCAGCAGTGGTAATAGTAACAGCGGATCTACCTCTCTTGGGTGGACTCAAACTCATTTAGGTGTGAAAAATTGCACTGCAAGATTCCTGAGGTGAAGAGATTGATGAGTGATATTGTTGCATTCTTCTTCTTGATTGTCATTCTTGTTGTGTTCTTCTTCATTGTTATTTCTACATACTTCTTTGTTGTCATTGAATAAAATAGTACACGAATCAGTACTAGCTAGGGGCATTTTGATTGGACTCATGAGCAGCAAGTTCTGGAGAAAATGTTCCAACTCATCCTGCTTGTCCAGATCAGATTAATGAGAGATGTCAAGGTCAAGGAGTTCTTGAATATCCTCAACAAAGAAAACATCAGAGCAGCAGGGGGCATTGGAGGAGAGACTTCCCAGGGAACCATTACTGGTACCAACACTGGAAATACTGCTGTCATCTTGGGAGGGACTCCTATAAGGATGGGGAACACCACTATCATGGGGACAATTGCCATCATAGTACTAGTAACAATAATTATCATCATTCACAATGTTGATGTGATAAGTTTAGGTTGTTAAATATGATGATATGAATGAGAGTTAAATACAATTCAACACAGAGAACAAACAAGGAGAGACAATATTCACTTATCTAGTTTCTCTTTGTTGCAACAATGAGAAACAATGAGAACATTGTCTGTTAAACAAAGAAGAACAATTCTCTTTGTTTCTCCTTGTTTCATCATGGAGTGTATAGAATTTTTTAAAACCAAGTAATACCATCTCTAATACTTTGTAATCTCCTCCTCCTGTGGAGTGGTAGCAGTAGTAGTGTACAACCCTGTTTAAAATAGGAGCATTGTTATGGCTTTTGGGAGATAACCCTTGCACCATTCATAGTGTACATTCTTAATCTGGTCTGTAAAGATTTGTGATGCCTGTTAGTCCAAGATGTGGGCATCACATTGCTACACAGGCCTGAAACTGGTATCAACATGCATGTTTGGCCAAAAGTAAAACATGGTGCAAAGTACTCGGGTGGACACACTACCAGCAAGGAAACCACATATTCTAGCTAAAATCATCAGAATAGCTTTTGCTGGAATACAATCTGTACCCTTGTGRTTACTTGTATGATATCTACTGTGCCTGACCATTGGTACTATTTGCAACAAAGTAAATCTAGTATTGGCATGCACCTTGCCCACTGCTGGTGGTTATTAGTAGGTGTACCAATTTCTGTGGTCAAAGGAACTAGATTCTTTGTGTCCTACCAACTCAGCTTTTCTATTATGGTAGGGTAAGAGAACAGCAATCAATACTTCCAGGAGGGAGATTGTTGCCATTGCCCAAACATTTAGCATCTACTATTAGTACTACTACTAATGATTCTTGTTACTAGTAGTAGATGAACAATATAAGGGCGGTCATTATTTGCTAGTACTAGTAGCAAGTTTTCTATTATGTATTCTTGGCTGGTATTATTATTTGGGACAAATCAGGGCAAATAACTGGTGGGCCCCCAAAATGCCATCCAGACACAGAGCAATAAARCACAGAGCAAAACAAAGCTCTTGCCCAACATTCTTGTGTTCTTATTCCAAGGGTGATTTTGGTGGCACAAAGGTTCTTTCTCTGTATTTTTGAACCTAAAGTTTTGTTGAAATGCCMACAAAAATCTTCATGAAAAAAGCCTGGATCATGCAGGTCTAAATTTGCTCCAAAATTTTTCTTTCTAAAAAACTGCAATTGCCTCAAGTGGAAGATGCAATGGATGCAGAGTACTACRAGTAGGTTGTAACAAGAGAGSACTGGCAGTGCTCTCTCTGAACAGAATTGTTGACACAATGATGTGGAATAAATACATCAGRCAGCCCAGTACCAAGAATCAAATGTCAACAACCACAATCCCTCCTGGAGGAAGAATCTATTTTGTTGTCAATTATCTTTGGCTATATTAATGACTTCTTGATACTAAAGTACATGCAGTTGTTCGTAATTCTTTCCTCTCTTCATCTATCGTTTGTTTTACTGTGCTTCGTGACAAGACACCAGCAGGAATCCAATAACTACTTTTTCAAGGTTTGGAGCACAAAGTGTGARATGAAGTGTGGGCTGACTAAACAAKWAAAAAAWT